ACAGATTACTGTAAGCACAAGTTAAATAGAATTCATGTCCCAATAAATTATATTATGTGAAAACTTAGTCAATGAGAGGTTGTGGAGGCTACTCATTGGTTAAATGCACTTGCTAGTCTTACAGAGAACCTGGGTTCAATTCCCAGCACCCACATGATAGCTTACAACCACTCATAACTCCAGTTCCAGGGAATCCCGAATTCTCTTCTGACCTCTGTAGGCAATAGGCACACATGTAGCACATCTACATGTATGCAGACAAAACACTCATACACATAGAATATAAATAGTTAATGGTAACAGCCTTCACTGTAAACCCAACTTCTCCTCTAAATATCCCCAAAATTGATGGAATGAGAAGGAGAAGTAAGACTATCTCCATCTTCTGTGCAGACATGTGAATCAATTAAAAACTTAGTTTTCATTACAGGCCAGCCAGGCTGGCCCCAAACTCGATATCCTAAATTTCTGAGCCTCCTGCCCCCACATCCTGACTGTTATGATTACAGATGTGTGTGACCACACCTAGTTGTATGCAGTGATAGGGATCAAACCCAGGGCTTCCTGCATATTAATTAGGCACTGTATCAACTGAGCTATATTCCCAGACTCTGTTTTGGTTGTTTTTCTTGAGACAAGATCTCTGTTGCCTATACTAGCTGGGAACTCACTATATGGTTCAGACTGTCCTCAAATTCATAGTAACCCTCTTGCCTTAGCTGAGTGTTAGGATTACAGAAACAGAAAGAATTGCTAAGTCAACAAGAGTCATAAATGTTAATAATTACTGTAGCTTATTATAGTAAAGTTTATAGGTCAGTTCAACTACTGCATAAATAACTATAGCATTTGGAGGATATGGAGTATATCATTTTGGAAGAGTATTTTTCCAAGGGTCTGGGGAGACAGGGAAGGGAGAATTCATTTCTGGTTGGAGCAGAAGCTGTGTCTGAACTGAGCAATAGGTGTTTCCAAGCAGAAGGAACCAGGAAAACAAACACAGAGGTAGAAAAGCTGAGAGTGCGTTTGGAGTTAGTTACATAGTGTATCTAGAACTGCTGGAGCCATACATAGGGAGCAACCAAGGCAATGAGTCCCGGCTCTGCGTCTTTCTTGAAGGCAGTTGAGGGAGACTGCCTTAGAAGCGAGAGTCTTGTCTCAGAGACAGCAAGGCTAAAACATAAGCTTACTGCTTTTGGCTTTTTAAGTCTGGAGAGAATGAGGGACCAGGATTCTACCTTGAAGAGATAGGGAATAAGTCAGAGTCCTAAGAGACCAGAATAGATCTAGAAATAAGGAATAGGTCCAGTGTTGAGGCCACCTTAGTACTCATTCCTGATCTTTTTTCTCCCTTGCCAATCTAAATGACATCTTTGTTGCCTCTGTAGTGAGAAGAGGCCTTGCAACAGGTACTTCCAAGAAAACTAGCGCTTTCCTGATTTTTTTTTTTTAATGAGCAGCTATTTCTGGTACCACCATTTCCTCTGTCTTGCCTCCTCTCTTTCTGAAGCAGCTCTTCTGCAACTGTAAGAGACAAGCCAAGAGAACTGCAAATGCTTTACTGACACAACTGAGCCTCTAAACATATATTTCTAACTGCTGGACCTGTGAGGGAAAAAGGTATGTTTATCTGGAAGTTAATAGAGCTTCCTATTACTTGGTGAAACCTCTGTAACTGACTTTGTAATCACTGGCTTCAGTGTTCTAGGGACAGAAAGAAACACTCAGATTCCATCCTTGCTTGGCCATCTTTAGTTAGAGATTCAGAAAAAAATTATGCTTCCCTGTAACAAAGGTGGCACCATTGTCCAGAGATTTGCTTATGTTTTGGTCTTTGGCTACAGTGATAAAACTCAACAGCGCTCAAAGTCAATAGCTGTAGCAGGAGTAAAAAAAAAAAAAATGTAATTGTACAAGTCTACTGACAACCTACATGGGTTGAATGCCATTCAGGAGAATAAAATGAACTTTGGTATTTGCCACCAAATAAGCAGTAAGACTAGGTTCAAAATACACCAATTACAAGTTTTGTAACCATTACCCAATCATATAGCTGTATAGATGAGTATTATACCTTCGTGAATCCTTTAAATGATAATAAAGATAAGGCAACTTATCTTTCTATAAAATTGCACTATAAGGTTTGCAAAATATCTATATCTTAAAGTATAGTACACATTGTCTTTTTTTGTTTGTTTGTTTGTTTTGGGTCTTGCTATGTAGCCCTGGCTGACCTGGCATTTGCCATGTAGATCATATTGCCCTCGAACTTGTATAAGTCCTCCTGTTTTAGTCTCCCAAGTACTGGGTTTTATAGGTTTGTGCTCCTACACTCTTTTCTCCCCTTTCCTCCCCTGTTGTGGAAGTCCTGTGTATATGTCAATAAAGCACTGTTGGCCAATAGGAAAGCAAGATAGGTGGGACTAGGAGTCCAGGAGGACTCTGGGTAGGAGAAACACAGGGAGTCGAGATGTAACACCATGGGGTAGGAAGCCCGGAAACCTCTCCGGTAAGAGAAATACTTAGATTAACAATTATGGTGTAAATGCTTAAGTCAGAGCTAGCCAGTAAGAAACAAGCAAGGCCAACAGCTTCATAATTAATATAGCCTCCTGTGTGTTTATTTGGGACTGATGTGGCTCTGGAACCAGGCTGGTGGGAAGGCTTCTCTTTAACTTCCCCCTCTCTCTTTTTATCCTCCTCTTTCTATCCCCTTCACTTTTATTAAAACAATTTCCCCCAGCATCTCACTGTGTAGCCCAGCCTGACTGGAAACTCACTGTGAAACCCAGGCTGGCATCTCATGCAGCCTTCCTGCCTCAGCCTCCCAGTGCTGGGACTAGCGGTGGTGAGCCATCACGCCTGGGGTCTAGCTCTTTCCCTTTTCCCTTAAATCAGATTTGAGTTCTGCTTCTAACGTCATAAAGTAAAAAATAATTTTTTTGGAAAGCCGAGAGTGCTGCTACACGCCTGTATGCCTCAGGAGTCTGAGGCAGGAGAATGGAGAGTTTGAAACACCTCGGGAGATGCCATCTCACAAACCATTTTAAGAAAGAAAATGTATGCCATTATGCATTTAAGATTTTTTGTTTTGTTTTTATTTTATCGTGTACTTGTTTGGGTGTTTCCTTTCGTGTATGTGCACCAAGTTAAGTGTCAATGAGGCCAGAAGGAGACATCAGATTCCCTAGAATTAATTGGAGTTATAGACAGCTGTGAGCCGCCATGTGGGTGCTCAGAACTGAACTCTGGTTCTTTGAGCCAGCGCTCTTAACATCCGAGCCACCTCTTCAGCCCAAACTTTGTTTTTTAATGTGCTTCGGTGGTGTTCTGCCTGCATGTATTTCTGTTTGCCATTACGCACTTTAATCAAGTATGGGCTACATGAGGCATAAATAAACACTTTAAAAACTTACATAAAAGATTCTGGTAACAGTCATGACAGCAAGATTAAAATGCGACTAAATATTTACCAGCCATGTGTATGAAACTAATTAAAATTAAATAATATTAAAAATTCACTTCCTCAGCCGGGCGTTGGTGGCGCACGCCTTTAATCCCAGCACTGGGAGGCAGAGGCAGGGGGATCTCTGTGAGTTCAAGGCCACCCTGGTCTACAGAGCGAGTTCCAGGACAGCCTCCAAAACAATACAGAGAAACCCTGTCTCGAAAAACCAAAAAAAAAAAAAAAAAATTCACTTCCTCAGTTGTACTTGCAACGCTGCAAATGCTCATTAGCTACAGCTGGCTGGTGGCTGCCATGTTGGATAGAGCTTGAAGAGAACATTTTCATTGCTGCAAAAAGTTCTAGACAGGCCGGGTAGTGGTGGCACATGCCTTTAATCCCAGCACTTGGGAGGCAGAGGCAGGCGGATCTCTGTGAGTTCGAGGCCAGCCTGGTCTACAAGAGCTAGTTCCAAGATAGCCTCCAAAGCCACAGAGAAACCCTGTCTCGGAAAAAAAAAAAGTTCTAGACAGTACCAATCTAGACTTTGTTGGGGTTTCTCTATAAACAAATATACACTAAAGTTACAAAAGAAAGAGAGGAATAAGGGGCTGAAAAGTAGTTCAGGGCCAGGTGTGCTATGCCCAGGAGTTGAATTTTGTCCTGAAGCTGAGGGGACTGGCATGACTGAAAAGTACATTACGGTAAGAACCCAAGGGTAACAGCACGGAGAACTGAATGAAGGTGTTCTGAAGAATGGAGACAGAAGGTTCATACACAGTGGGGGTTTTCTCACACGAGGTTTATTGGAGAATTAAACATCTTTGTCTAGATTCTGGATTCTACAAATGCAGGCAGAGGATGAGGAGGTATTTGTCTACCGGAGAAGCAGCAGATACCTAAGATCGGACTATGTACAGTAGATAGTTCCGAGTTCATATCTTGACTCCATCCCTTAAGATACTGGCCTAGCTAAAATCTTGCCAGATCTACAGAGCGCCAGACAGTCCCATACAGCCTGGACTACAATAGAACAACCAGCGTGGCAACACCCCAACTTTCTCAGGTTCCCCCAAAGGTGATCGACGCCCCCAGGTCAGCAGGAAGCAGTCTTAAAAATTCAACGTCCTTGATCCCGAACCTGCCGCATCTAACACCCCCATCTCTTTTTAATCATAAATAAAGGTGGGAATGAAAGGTTCAGGCATTACTCTGGCCTGCCCTGTTACCTGGCAAGATGCACTCAGGCAACACTCTGGCCAGCCCAGAGTTCCGTGAGAACCACGCAGGTGCAAAGGACCCCTTTAAAGAACTGACCCCTGCCCGTTTACCCTCTCTTGCTCTTACTCTCTTTCCCTCTTACATTCTTACTCTCATCTTACTCTGTCTCTCTCTCTCTCTCTCTCTCTCTCTCTCTCTCTCTCTCTCTCTCTCTCTCTCTCTCTCTCTCATATCTTATCTCTCTCTCTGCTCTGCACGGGTTGGTTACCTCCCAGTCCACCAATAAACTCCACGTGGGATCGTAGAAAAAAAAAAGATACTGGCCTAGCATTGCTCACTAAAAAAATTTAAATTTATTTATGTATGTGTTTGTGTGTGCACACACACGCATGTCACAGTTTGCATGAGGAGTCAGAGCACAACTTGTAAGAGTTCTTTTCTCATTCCACCATGTAGATCCTAGTGACTGAACTCAGGCTGTCACGCTTGCATGCAGACACCTTCAGCTGCTGAACCATTTTGAGGTGCTGTTCACTTTAAAACAGGCAAAAGCAAAACATCAATGCCCTCCTTTGAAGAAACAGATTGTATGCACTTTGTAGGCTTGTCCCAAGGTCTAAATTATACACTGTAGGGGAAAAGTATTCAGCAGGCTGTGTATTTTTTGCATGCCTATACTCCATGTAATTTGGTTGTTAGTATTGCCTAGTAGGATCTATGGTTGTGTAGAAATAGAAAATTAATATAAGGAAAGAGAATTAAATGGATGACGAGGAGGAAAGGACAGTAACTAGGATCAGAAAATGAGATGTGCTAGGCGTTGGTGGCGCACGCTTTTAATCCCAGCACTGGGAGGCAGAGGCAGGCGGATCTCTGTGAGTTCGAGACCATCCTGGTCTACAGAGCGAGTTCCAGGACAGCCTCCAAAGCCACAGAGAAACCCTGTCTCGGAAAAAAAAAAAAGAAAATGAGATGTTTGGAATTACAAATTCAACTACAAGTTTATATTGCTTCAAATATCCTGGAGAGAGTGGCTTAACTGCTGCAAAGGTCGAATTCACTAAAGACGAGAGAACAGGATTCTGTGTAAGTCCTCATCAATACTGATAGTATATAAAGACCTCCCCCCCTTTTTTTTGAATAGGGTAAATTCATGGTATGGAGGACTTAGCTTTGGAGATATAGAAAGATGCTGACTCCAAAACTTGATCTTGATGTGAGGCATGGGTATGGGTTAATGCACAACTTCTTTAAAAAGCTTCAGTGAAGCCGGGCGTTGGTGGCGCACGCCTTTAATCCCAGCACTTGGGAGGCAGAGGCAAACGGATCTCTGTGAGTTCGAGGCCAGCCTGGTCTACCGAGCGAGTTCCAGGACAGGCTCCAAGGCAATACAGAGAAACCCTGTCTCGAAAAACCAAAAAAAAAAAAGCTTCAGTGAAGACGAGTTTTCAGTGTAGGGCCAAATGTCATTATTAAACAATACATACAAGGACCTGTGCTCCACAAAAGGGGCACTCCAAGAATACAGATTCTCCCGAAACATCCATTTGAATATGACTTTTCTTGTCCCACTTCAATATCCTTACCTAAACAGCTCAAGTTAGGTAGGAGTGAGGTCAGGGGTTGCCTGCCCAGCTCTGGGGTGGCACATCCCAAGGCTTTTCTTTTCCTAAGCTCAGCTGGAGCAGTAGGGAAGGAGTCGGAAATCGAGGTCTTTCACAGTGAACAGGACGCGCCATCCCTTCTCACCAACGAACATTAGTGGAACTCACAAGCATTAGACCCCAGCGGTAAAGATCCGCGGCCGTTTTCCGGGTCAAGATTTGACATCAGCAGGTTGCCCAGGGACTGCGACTTTCCAAAGTTCCCTCTACTCTGCAGAGGTGAAACGTCGGAACTCCGAGAGTAGTCGGCTCTGAGATTCCTTCGGGACTCGGCCTCCCGGGCTCTAGGACCGAAGGCCGGGTTCTTCAGTTCCGGCGTGCAACTCTTCCACGTGGGCACTCGGCCGCCCGAGGGGGCGGGGCAGGGGCGGGGCCAGGCAGGAGGGCGAGGCCGGCCCCGCCTTCGGTGCTCCCATGGCTCCCCGCGCCCCTCGGCCAGATGCTGACGTGTCCTTTCCTTCCCACTACACCTCCCGACACCGCTGTCTCAGACTTCCCCGGAAGTCCCGCCCCAGAGTTTGCCCGTCACCGCAAATCAGCTCTTTCAGCGCTTCCTGGAGCTCCCCACCCGTTTTGGGACCAGGGGGCGGGGCTTCATGAGCAGAGTGCCTATTGGCTTGAGGTCCGGCGGGTTCCGGACGCTAATTGGCCAGAGGGAGGTGGCGCTCTGGCACGCTTGCGCGGCGAGTAGAACGTGTGGCGGCGGCGGCGATCGCGTCTCCTCTTTTGCTCTCAGTCCCGCTGCTGCTTCAGTGTTCGCCTGGCGCTTCCATCCAGTCCACCGTCGGACGCCCGTCGCCTGCCCGCTCCTCGTCGCGGCACCCTCTCCCCAGCGTCGACACCCATTCTGACACCTCCAGTCCGGCCGGACGCCCCACTCGCTGCCCTTCCAGCTCCACACATGGCCTCCTCCGCGCAGAGCGGCGGCTCCTCCGGGGGACCCGCGGTCCCCACCGTGCAGCGGGGCATCGTCAAGATGGTGAGAGCGGGGCCCCGGACCCGGACCCCTCTGTCACCTCGGAGTGGGAGTCAGGCATTGACTCCTCTCCCTTCCTTCAGCCTGCATGGTCTCAGTTCGCCTTTCCTCTGCCCCTGCCTCACTCTCCGCCCACTCCGAATCTTCACCTGGCAGAACCCCGCACGAACTCCCCTTGACTCTTGCCTCCTGGGCACCCTGTCACGGTTCGGTCACAGCGATCTTCGTGGTCGCGACTTTCGGAGCCCCTGGCTGTTTACCTGAAGCATATCTATTACTGATTCATTAACGGAGATAGTTCATGGATAGTTCTCCCCATCCCCCTCTTCCTGTCCATTTTGACATATGCCGCCGATCAGTTCGCAGTTGTTTGAGACCCCGACAACTTCTCTTTCCTGGAACCCGAAGAGTGCTTGGCTGTCACGCAGCTTTTTCTCTTTCCACTGACTCTCAGTTACTTTCTCGAAGTTTTCTCAACTCTTCCCTCCTTTATCTGTGTGTCTAGTTTGTAAGACCCGAAAGCTCCTGATCTTTGCATACTTTTCACTTAAAAATTTAGGCTGGCAGAGATCTTATGCTAATTTGCATTTCCTCACTTCCTAAGGGTGAGGAGACTGTTTTAAAGAGAGCCAAGTGACTTGCCTTTAGGGCACATGGCAGTTTGGATCGGAGCCAATCAAGAGCCCAGGTGTTCGGATTCCCTGTGTAAGACTCTTAACAGTACAGATCCTGCCTGCACACACACCTTCACTTTCTTCATTCTGAATTTTGAATCCGATCACCTCCACTTCCATGCTAATTTCGTAGTACAAATCTGTTTTATTTCTTATATTATCTCTCCTTTTTACCCTCCCACATCTTGAGATCTGACATTTCTTGCTTGTTAACAGGGTTTCTGTTTGAGATGACTGTAGTCTTTTAGATTGCTTTTCTTATAACGCCGACTTTTCCCTCCAGAATGGAAGACTTTTTTTTCCAAAGAGCCAGTTTTTAAACAGTCTGTTTTGCTGTCCCATTGTCTTTCACAGGGTTACTATATTCTGCAGGGGCACCTGAAAAGATGGCTCAGTGGATAAAAGTGCTTGCTGTGCAATCATGAGGACCTGGGTTCAAATCTCCAGCACCCACATTAGAGCTGGACATGGCTGTCCCATTGCCTGTGACCTTGGTGTCATCCAGGGAATAAGTGGAGAGCAGTAGAGGAAGACATTGATGTTCTCTGTGCTCCAGTATTCTTATGTGGCCTCTGCATGGGCGCTCAGGCACATGTTCCCTAACATACACCCCAGTATGTATACACACATGTGCCACTCTCAGACAGATACTTTGCAGCTTGTGTGTGTAGATTCAGCCTCCAAGATTCTTGTAATTCTAATATATTCATGTCCTAGATCATAATCAGCTGCCAGCTGAGATTTCTTGGGACGTGCACTATTATTACCCCTTTGCCTTTTCTGTGTGTACAGACAGTCAGAATTCATTAGACTTAATGAACAGGGGATTTAGAAGGTCCATGATTTCTCTCTGAAAGTTTTGACTCTGAAAGGGTTATCCTGAAGCACTTCCTCTTTCATTACCCTTTTCATTTGTGCTGGTCTTCTCTTCAGTGTAGGCACAGAGCATCCCTTAGCTGTCTGTGGTTTTGGTGGTCTGCAGTGGGGCTCTTAGTTTTCTTACAAAGGCTTGACTTTTTCTTAAAGGCCTCCCTTTTGTAGGAGGGGAGTTGTAGGAAGCTGGACCTATTTTTGCTTTGTTGGAAGCCTCCAGGGTATCTGGGTTCTCTGAGGTGTTTGTGCCTGCTCACGGATTACATCCCCTGTGCCTACTGTATTATAGGTGGTCACTCACATCTTCAGCTGGGTTCTCTCCATATTTCATTCGTATCATCTAGAAAGTAGATTTCTAATCTAGGGCTCACAGAGGCTAACTAACCCAGGTACCTTTTTTATTAGTAAGAAAAGTCAGAGCCGAAACTTGAACCCAAGCCTGCCTGCCACAACACAAGCTAGTGTAAACTATGCTGTGAGGCCTGCCTCCAGGGTATTACTTTCTGACATGAAGGGTGGGGCCAGTGATGCATGGCCACAAATTATAGGAAAGTGAAGCTGACTGTAATTGAGTTGAGAAAAGATTAGATGCTGTTGCATGACTTGTTGCTGTGGTTGTGGTTGTGTGACTTCGTTTGGTGCGTATGGTTGCTGTGTGCATAGTTGTGTGGCATCTAAAATTCAGTGATTTGAGCAGTCTGTCCCGGGGATGGGCTGCTGCAGGCCCTGATCACACTGCAGAGGGTGGGTGGGTGAGTTACCAGCCAGCAGGTTTGGGACAGGTTTAGAAGCCTTGTCTGGGATGACAGATCGGCCAGTGGCAAATTGCTCTCTGGAGCTCTTTAAACAGAATTGTATCTCCTTGGGGGAGCAATAGTTTCCAGTAGTCCTAGGAACTGCTGTGTAAGAAGGGTGGAGAGCTTCTGCAGGAAAGGAAGAAACAGGTTGATAAATTAGAAAGCAGGTGCTGCTTTCTTCTGCCTTTTGAAAGGTGCCGAAACCGGAACACGGGGTAAGCAAAGCAGTGCTTTTGAGTGGGAGCGTTCAGGTTCTTGTGGACTGGACTCATCTGAGGGTCAAAAATGGCTGAAGGTGGAGGGTTTTTTTTGTTTTTGTTTGTTTTTTTTCAGTGAGAAGGAATAGTTCTCTCTTTTTTTTCTCTGGTAAGAGAAAGTGTTAGAGAATCTGTTTCTTCTGGTCTCTGAGAACCAAGTTTAAAAGACTCATTAGCATTTAAAAATGGCTGTGATGCTAATGGCTGTGAGTGTGTGCTGTGTAGATTGGGGTGAGACAGAGTTGGTTTTGGGGTATCCTTAAGGAGGGTGGGCAATAAGTTGACACAAACATTTGTTACTTAGGTTGAGGGAAAAATGAACACGGATTTCTGTGTTTTGAGTTGGGGTAAGACTAGCAAAGATGCAGGTGGGCAAGACACAGCTTGGGTAATTAAATGTCTCTGTCAAATCCGATCTTATTTTTGGACCCCGAAAGCTCCTTACTCTGGGTCTGTTTGAACACTCTGCTGTGTCAGAATGTTGTCTGCACATGTTCCATAGGTGAGGTTCAGTCATCCCATTTAGTGGCTGCTTAGAAAAGACTTTTTTCTGGCTTTACTGACCTAATTTCCTTATGTTTTGGGCCTTTATGACTTTTATTTCAACTTTGAAGTTTAGTATGTTTGTATACCTCCTCAGGCAGGCGTACATGATGACTTGGCTTTCGCAGCTGTAGAATGAGGCACGTTCTTCAGTCTTCTGTACCTGTTGCAAGCAGACATAGAAGTAGCTTATCTTACTGTACTTACGGTATGGAAGGCTGAGGATTGTATAGTACCACACTCCCTCATAAGGGGAAAGGACCCTTTGTCAGTCTTGATGGTTTATTCATCAGCTCCGTTTCTCACCGCAAAGACAAAGGGATGCCTATAAGGCAGAGGGAGTGACCCTAGTTTTCTGTTTCCATAGGATTCACGCTGCCAGTTTGTTGTAAAGTGTAAATTTCCTTCCAAGTGGCTTTGTGGAAATTTCTTGGAAGTATAGCATGTGGGAGATTCTTCCTATAATTGAGTTCATTATTCTTAAATATATTTTAGGCTTCTGAGTAAGAAGTGTGTTTCTTTTGAGATTTGAGTGGGGACAGAGTAGCCTGTTGATGTTTTTGACGTGATTGATTTTTCTACTTTTTTTTTAAGTCACTCTTTTGTGTGGCCTAGGCTGTCCTCAAACTCCTGTGACCTAGGACTCCCAATCCTCCTGCCTCCGCCTGAGAGTGCTGGGATTACAGCAAGCACCGCACAGCTGACTTTTGACTTGCTTCCTTCTGTATGTGCTTATTTTATGGAGGGACAAGCAAAAGCAACCCTGTGCCTAAGCTACTCAAAATACCCTTGTTTACCACTCAAAAGTATAAGGTAGCCGGAAAAGAATGTTTTAGTGGGGCCATGTGCGCGGAAGTAGAATAAGATAGTGCTTTTCCCTGTAGGTTTAATGTTGTCCATTTCCCAGCAGTTACACATGGTAGCTCTCAATCAAGATCAGTCAAGGAACACGAAGTTATTCTTGTATCTTGAACACTTTCTGAAAATTTTCCGTGAAAATGAAGCATCCATCTGGCTCTAGTTATGCTGACAGTAGTGCTGCCATGTAACTGAAGAGAGTAAGAAATAATGTTTTCCTTTTCTGTTCTTGAGACAGGTTTTATTGTGAAGAATTATGCTGATTGGTTACGCCGGGCTCAAACATGAGAGCTAGAAATGTGGACATGTGCCCCTATGCCCCAATTTGCGATACTTCGTTTCTTATTGAACAATTATTTATTGCATATCTACTGTTTGTCAAGCTCCGTCTGGGCATTGGGTTCCTTTCCTATGGCTCGTGGAGGAGTGAGGCAGTAACGAAGGGAATAAGTAAGCATGGCAGTAGAGGATAATGAGTTCACATAGTGGACTACAGCAGGATGGTTGGGAGCAGGAGAGTCGATGCCTGTAAGTAGTGCTTTAGGAAAGAGTTCTCTGAGTTGGCATTTGCACTGAGATCTGGTGGACATCAAAGAGCCAGCCACAAGGGAAGTGTTTCCAGCAAGGGAAGGACAGGCGCAAAGCCGATGGGGTTTCCATTATCAGTGTTCTCCAGTGTTTTT